TTTTCTGAATTGGTAATTAGTTCTGATTATAAGAATCATTTTGTGTATTATAAAAGAAGGCACCTGGAAATTACATATAAGATATATTCCATAAAATTTCACTAAGATTTAGAAATTAAATACCCCATCTCTGTGTTATCCTCTGAAGAATAAGTTTTTCTGTTTGGAAGTGTATATATGGTAGGCTTCTGTCCCAAGATGGCCAACTGCTTGCTTAGTGTCATGGAATGCTGCAAAACAAACAAACAAAACTCTCCTTTTACTCTTTTCATAGCCAAAAGTATTCCAAAATAACATCATGATATATTGAATTTGTTATTTTCGTTAAGACATTGTTTACATTTATAAATTTACCACATTTTCAGGATTCGGCTTTGTTTTTTCTTCTATACAGCCTCTTCCCAATTAGAAATTTATGAATTACAATAAGTCATAATACAGTTTCCAATATATCTAAATCACCATCCAAAATCAGAATTCTTTTTAAAAAATTTTTTTTAAAAAAGCATTTTTTAATTAAAGCATAATTGATTATACATATTAATGGGGTACAGAGTTGACTATCAGTATTTCAGTATAATATGTGATAATCAAATCAGTATTACTGACATGTCCATTATTACAAATCGTAATTATTCTTTGTGTCCCTTACCCAATTTCTCCCTAATGACACCCCTCCCCTCTTTTCCACCTCTAGTAACCATAGATCTGTTCTCTCCTTCTGAAAGTTCAGTGTATTATTGTGGCCTTCCTGCCTTCCTTCCTTCCTTCCTTCCTTCCTTCCTTCCTCCCTCCCTCCCACTAATGAGTGAGGACATGTGGTATTTCCCTTTCTATGCCTGGCTTATTTAAGTAAATTACTTAACATAATTTTATTTAAATTCATCCATGTTGCAGCGAATGGCAGAATTTCATTCTTTTTTATGGCAGAGTAGTACTCCATTGTGTATATATACCACATTTTCCTTATCCAGTTGTCCGTTGATGGACATTTAGGTTGGATCCGTATCTCGGCTATTATAAACAGAGTTGTGATGAACATGGGAGTGCAGGTATCCCTTTGACATGATGATTTCTATTCCTTTGGGTACATACCCAGCAGTGGGATTGCTGGATCATATGGTAGATGTATCTGTAGTTTGAGAAACCTCAATACTGTTTTCCATAATGGCTGTGCTAATTTACAGTCCCACCAACATAGAGTTCCTCTTTCTCTGCATCCTTGTCAGCATTTGTTATTTTCTGTCTTTTTGATAATGGCCAGTCTAACTGGGGTGAGATGATATCTCAAAGTGGTTTTGGTTTGCATTTCCCTGATGATTAGTGATGTTGTGCATTTTTTTAATGTACTTCTTGGCCATTTATATGTCTTCCTTTGAAAATTGTCTATTCAGCTCCTTTGCCCATTTATAAACTGGATTTTTTTTTCCTGTGAAGTTGTTTGAGTACCTTGTATATTCTGGATTAGTCCCTTGTCAGATATATAATTTGCAAACATTTTCTCCCATTCTGCAGGTTGTCTTTTCCCTTTGTTAGTTGTTTCATTTGTTGTGCAGAAGCTTTTTAGTTTGATATATTCCCATTTGTTTATTTTTTCTTTCACTGCCTGTGCTTTTGAGGTCCTATTCATAAATTCTTTGCCCAGTCTGGCTTCATGAAGTGTTTCCCCTATGTTTTCTTTCAGTAGTTTTATAGTTTCAGGTCTTATACATAAGTCTTTAATCCATTTTGAGTTGGTTTTCATATAAGGTGAGAGGTACAGGTCTAGTTTCATTCTTATGTGTACAAATGTCCAATTTTCCCAGCCCCATTTACTGAAGAGACAGTCTTTTCCCCAATGTGTGTTCTTGTTGCTCTGTCAAAGATCAGTTGGCTGTAAGTATGTGGGTTGATTTTTGGGTTCCTCTATTCTGTTTCACTGGTCCAAGTGTCTATTTTTATGCCAGTACCATGCTGTTTTGTTTACTATAGCTTTGTAGTATAATTTGCAGTCAGGTAGTGTTATGCCTTCGGTGTTATTTATTTATTTATTTATTTATTTTTGCTCAGGGTTGCTATTATTTATTTATTTATTTATTTATTTATTTTTGCTCAGGGTTGCTTTGGCTATTCAGGATCTTTTGTTGTTCCATAATAACGTTAAGATTTTTTTTTCTATTTCTGTAAAGAATGTAATTGGTATTTTGATGGGGACTGCATTGAATATATAGATTGCTTTGGGTAGTATGGACATTTTCACAATGTTAATTTTTCCAATCCAAGAGCATGGAATGTCTTTCCATCTTTTTGTGTCTCCTTTAATTTCTGTCAGCAGTGATTTGCAGTTCTCGTTGTAGAGATCTTTCACCTCCTTGGTTAAATTTATTCCTAGGCATTTTATTTTTATGGTGGCTGTTGTAAATGGGCTTACTTTACATTAGTTCATTATGAAAGTATAAAAATGCTACAATGTTTGAATGTAGCTTTGTACCCTGAAAGTTTACCAAAATTGTCTATCAGCTCAGTCTTTTTTGTAGAGTCCCTAGGTTTTTCAATATATAGGATCATACCATCCGCAAATAGGGACAGTTTGACCTTGTCTTTTCCAATTTAGATGCCCTTCATTTCTTTCTCTTNCTGTTTTGTTTACTATAGCTTTGTAGTATAATTTGCAGTCAGGTAGTGTTATGCCTTCGGTGTTATTTATTTATTTATTTATTTATTTATTTTTGCTCAGGGTTGCTTTGGCTATTCAGGATCTTTTGTTGTTCCATATTAACGTTAAGATTTTTTTTTTCTATTTCTGTAAAGAATGTAATTGGTATTTTGATGGGGACTGCATTGAATATATAGATTGCTTTGGGTAGTATGGACATTTTCACAATGTTAATTTTTCTAATCCAAGAGCATGGAATGTCTTTCCATCTTTTTGTGTCTCCTTTAATTTCTGTCAGCAGTGATTTGCAGTTCTCATTGTAGAGATCTTTCACCTCCTTGGTTAAATTTACTCCTAGGCATTTTATTTTTATGGTGGCTATTGTAAATGGGCTTACTTTACATTAGTTCATTATGAGAGTATAAAAATGCTACAATGTTTGAATGTAGCTTTGTACCCTGAAAGTTTACCAAAATTGTCTATCAGCTCAGAGTCTTTTTTGTAGAGTCCCTAGGTTTTTCTATATATAGGATCATACCATCTGCAAATAGGGACAGTTTGACCTTGTCTTTTCCAATTTAGATGCCCTTCATTTCTTTCTCTTGCCTGATTGCTCTGGCTGATACTTCTAATACCATATTAAATAGGAGTGGTGAGAGTGGGTATCCCTGTTGTTCCTGTTCTTAAGGGAAAAGTTTTCAGCTTTTCCCCATTCAGGATGATATTGGCAGTGGGTTTGTCATAAGTGGCTTTTATTGTGTTGAGATATTTTCCTTGTATACCTAAGGTGCTCTCCCATTCTTACATGAGCATATCTTCCTTTCCAATGGATGAGCCAATTTCAAATCATCCTTCTCATACTGAAGATGACGTTGCTGATATTTTGCTTATTGATGAGATCAAGCACAAGTTCAAAATCAGTACAATGGCTGAACTAAACTTAAGTGGATAATGAACATGTATTTAGTTAGCTCTGGGCAGCCTAAAATCCTATGTGCTGATTATAAATTATTCACAGCCCTTAAAAAACAAAGGCAGCAATAATATAATAATAATAACGTTTCCACCTACTAGTGAAGGTCCTTCTGCCTGCCACAGCAACTCATCAGGATTTGCATTTTCTGGATCGTATACCCATATAATGACAACCTATAAAATAAAATGTTTTCATTTCTTCACATTTGTACAAATTTCATTTTTAGTTGTGGCAAAACATAAGGATAAAAAATGTTTTCATTTATTTAAAAAGTTTTGGTTATCTCTTTTTTAGAAATCAAAAGCAATATTTGTTGTTTTTAATAAGTGAAACAATCCAAAGACATATGAAGAGTTAATAATATCCATCTACACCCCTTAAGTAACTAGTGTTAAAATTTCATATGAATGCACATATGTCTTTCTTTACACCCATAAAGAGAAACATAAGCCCCCCTCCCCCACTCTCACACTTTTTACTATATTGAAATCACCCTATACATGTTATTTATAACTTGCTTTTGTTACCGGACACAACATGGCTATTTCAATAGATACAGATCTAATTGTTCTTTGTTGTTTATTTTCTCTTGAATAATTTATTCACATAGTCAAAAGCAAATTATATTAAAAATATATCAAAATATTGTCCCTCCTACCGTGTACCTCATCACTCAGTTCCAATAAGTCCACCTGCACCGCACAATAACTACTATTAGTAAGTTCTTGTCTATATTTTTATAAAATTTTTGTGCATAACCAATAAAGATATGTTTTTTTCCTTCCTTTTATACAAATGCTAGCATGCTAAAGACATCTTTTTCTGACCCTTATGTTCTTACCATAAAGTTAAAGCATAGCGATCTTTAATAGTCTCTTTAATTTTTCAGCTGCATATCATTCCAAATTATGGAGGAACCATATTTTATTTGACCAGTAATCTACTGATAAACATGTGTTTCCAATCCTTTGTCATTATAATCAATTTTACAAAGAGCAACTTTTACAACATTGAGCATATTGGTAGGGCACATTCCTAAAAATGTAATTGTTGAATCATAGGATATATATACATTCATAATTTCCATAGATACTCCTCACAGTCTTCCTAACATCATGTGTTATTATGCATTTGGATATTACCAGTCAAATGAGTGAAAACTGATACTTTGGTGTAGTTTAAATTGGCATTTCTTTTATTATGAAAAAGTTTGAGCATCCTTCCACATGTTCAAGTTCCACTTGTATTTCCTTATATTCCTTTTGCCCATTTTTCTTTCTTTTTCGTGTGTGTGTTTATTTATTTATTTATTTATTTATTACATTTATGATGTGGTTGTGGAGCACTTGGGGGGTGGGGGGAGAGACACAATACAAAGAAAGATTGACAAGTAGAGAGGACTATCTTTGTTTTGGTAGCCTTTCAGATTCAAATCAGATACACCAGCTTACATGCAAGCCAAAAGTTCCACTGGTTTCACCTTATCCCAGCTAAGTCTATCCATCATCAGCAAGTTTGCTCCTCTCTTGTTCTGCCACCAACCTTAGCAACGGGTCCTAGGTACGGAAGCATTCTCTGGCCTTTGTTCACCTATGAAGGGCCCATTCATCTGAAATACTCCACCTTTAGATTTCATTTCTAGGTACGGAAGCATTCTCTGGCCTTTGTTCACCTATGAAGGGCCCATTCATCTGAAATACGCCACCTTTAGATTTCATTTTATCCACAGCTTTTTTTTTTTTTTTGTCTTTTGTCTTTTTCCGTGTCCGGCAATGGATCGCAACCCTC